CAGCTGCCTTTATTTATTGGCAACTATACCTGTTTAATGTCTGATTTGGCAGTGATTTCCCCACACCACTCCCATAGAGGGTGAACACCCCCCTAAAATTTTAAACACCCTGGCGACTGCTGGCTCATATTTGCCGCGAAATATAATTCAATTCCAATTATGTAGTTTTTGAAGTATTTTGGCTTTCAACTCCCACTTTTACCTCTGCTATAAAAGGACGCCCAAAACCATTTCAAGTCGTAAAATGTGTGAATTGAAATAAAATTGTAGCGATAATTGCCATCAAGGTAGATTTTTCGAAAAAATGTTATTTGAAACAATATGGCGACGATAATAACACGACGATATTAATCACTGGCATTTCTAACTCCTGAGTGCGTGATCATTGCCTGATTGATTCAACAGTGAGTAACCGACATAAAAATATTTTAAATTTATTTCAATCAAAAAGTTTAAACGATCACTGCTCGATTTACGTCAATGGACCATTAGCTTCCGGGAAATGACCGTTAAAAATTTTTGCTGCTTCGAACTAGCATAACCCTGGCATCAGAATTTTCACATCCCCAACCATTGCAAATGAAAAAAGAAATGCGAAAAATAATCAGAAATTCATCTCGCTTTCGTCTGTTGTTATCGAATTTAATCTCTGCGCTAATTCGTTCATCTCTGTATACTTTACAGCAAAAGTTCTCAGCCTTCATTCTCTAATTTAACTCTTTGCGAACTGAAAATGAAATGTACCCACACTATGCAATGGGCGACGGACGAAAAAGTCTTTAGAAAAAGGAATTTCAACTTAGCATTGTGCAGATGTATAAAATTGATTGCGTTGCGTTTATACAACTACGATTATCCCCTACAATGCTAATTCCTCCTTTATAGAGCGTAGGCCGTGTGGTTAAAGCGCTGTTTTACATCTCTGGTTCAAATTTCATACCCACCTCCTAACCTAGGTTGTGATAAATTAGGGGAAGCAATGCCAATGCCAATGTTTTTTTGAGATTTAGTAGGAAGTTTTGAGTCATTTTATCGCCATTGAAAGTCTGCGATTCCGACTCCCGGAGTTACAAATCACGTGGTGAAGGGCAATCCTCGCAAATTCACAAAGGGGCAAAATCCAACTTGTTTCATGTCCATGAAACGCGGTATTTCAATGCATTTCTACGTGTGATATGTGATTTTTTTGGAAAATATAGTGAGGGCTTCGAGTAAAATTATAATCAGAATATCTCGCTGATATATTTAGCGTTAAATTTGCGTTGCGCTGTTTGAAAAGAAAGTAAATGATTGACGTGAGCTTCCGCGATTTTTTAAAACGATAATAATCTCGTAAAATTACGAATGTGCTTTGGAAATGCGTTACTTCGAAAGCATGGTCTTACTCATGAACGATGCAGCGGAAATTAGTTGAGCGATAGCGAGAATTGCAAAGGGAAGTTGATAATATTGTCTAGTTCTCATCGCAGGACTTTTTCCATCAATATTTCCAAAACTCAAAAAAAAACTAGTAATTTTCCATTGCGCTAGAAATTCAAATTTTCAAATCCTCTCTAACCATCAACTGCATATTTACGATGGGTGTGTTTTTTCCTCAAATTTCACATTTTTGCATTATTGAAATTGCATTGCCATGTCTCGTCTAAACTTAGCTAACAGGAGAAAACATCTTCCCGATGTATAGGTTGCGAGATGTTCATAAAACCCTAAATTGGGTTGCGTCTCGAGATTGTTTAAGAACCCCTGGTTCAATCTACACATAGCGTAACAATTGTAGCGTAAGTTGTTGGGTAAATTTACTTTTTTGTTAACATATATCGCGCCTCGATAGCATGAATTCTAAAAGTTGGAATAAAGTTTCTTCTATATTTTTAAATATTCGTGGTATGTCACATTCGGTACCCCGATTTTAAATTTGATTGGCTTACGTCCAAGGGTGTTTTTTTTCTATATTTTCAAATATTCGATGTATGTCAGAAATATTGCCACGTCATTCGGTACCCCGATTACAAATTTGATTGGCTGACGTGACGTAATTTACATCGATAATTTCAACGTATATTTATATCCATAAAAAGAATAGTCGGAATTTCAGAAGACACAAGTGGGCCGGATGAAACACTTCGGTGGCCCGCGGGCCGTAATTAGCCCACCCATGTATCAAGCACGCGCAAACAATATTTTTGTGGTAAATCTACCTTGTGTGGGAATTACAAGGAAGACTCTAACCCGAGTCCCACTATATCACTTTAGCGCAGCGGTCCTAACTCTTTAGCACTTTACTTAGTTTACTAATTTTAACCCAAAAGTACCCAATAGTGTTCATTAATTGAAAAAGAAATTAGTAAATTATCTCATTATATTCATTTGAGGTGACGGCTTTCTTTATTTATTGGCAAATAGCTGTTTAATGTCTGGTGGAGCGCAGTGATTTCCCCACGCCACTCCCATAGAGGGCAAACACCCCCCTACAATTTCGGACACCCTGTCTAGTGTTGGGTCATATTGGCAGCAAAATTCAATTTACTTCTAATTATGTTGGGTTTTTATCGTATTTGTACTTTAAATTCCCACTTTTATTTACTTTTGTTATAAAAGGTCGCCCATAACCATTTGAAGTCGTAACAAGTGGGAAAAAAAATCGAAGCGATAATTCCCACACAAGGTAGATTTCTCATAAAAATGTTGTTTGAAATAATATGAACGCCCTGCTTGGTTTGTCACAAAGTTAATTAAATTTAAAATCATAGCACCAAAAATATGCGGCAATTTTGCGCTTATGGTAAATATTTCAAGAAGAACGGAAGCGTTGGGGGTTAAGGGAGATCATCAGGAAAAACAACGTTTCATAACATGTGATAGTCACTGATATTTCTAACTCCGGAGTGTGTGATCAATGCCTGATTCAACAGTGAGTAACCGACATAAAAAAACATTTAATTTTATTTCAATCAAAAAATTCAAACGATAACTGCACGATTTACGTCAATGGACCATTAGTTTCCAGGAAACGAAAATTGAAAATTTATGCCGATTTGAACTGGCATAACCCTGGCATCCGATTTTTCACATTTTAGCCATTGCTAACGAAATAGCAATGCAAATAAAGCCGCCATCTATCTCGCATTTGTTTGCTGTTATCGGGATTTATAGCAAAGGTTTTCAGCCTTTTTCCCCTAATTTACCTCTTTGCGAATTTAAAGTAAAATTCAACCCGCCATGGCAAAATCCGACGTGTTTTTTGTCCATAAATAGCGGCATTTCAATGCATTTTTACGTGTGATATGTCAGTTTTTGGAAAATATAAAAGGGCTTCGATTACAAGCATAATCAGAATATCGTACTGATATATTTAGCATTAAATTTGCGTTGCGCTGTTTGAACAGAAAGCAAATGATTGACGTGAACTGCCGCGACTTTTTAAACGATAATGAGCTCGTATATTCACCACGAATATACTTTGGAACTGCGTTACTTTGAAATCATGGTGTTACTCATGAACGATGCAGCGGTAATTAGTTGAACGATAGCGGGAATTGCACAGGAAGTTATGATAATCAGGTTCTCAGCACCATATGCTATACTATACCTACAACGGCATATTTGATAAATGTTATCTAGTACCAGGCCTGGACCAGAGCTCCATAAATTAATTTGGAAGCCAACTTCTATTATTTATCCTAGTTCAACTGTGGCACAAATATAAATTCAACGCACTAACACACGGCCATGCAATGTTGTGATCAACTGAACAGCGACTCGTATCGCTTGCCCATCTACGAAGTCATCGCACGTAACTCCGAATATGGACAAGGGGGGGAGACTGGGGCATTTTCTATACATAAGGCACACTGGGCTAGAAGGCTTAGCTCGTACTGATACTGGTTTTGAGTGCAGTGTTGCCTGACACATACATTTGTGGAACTGACCTATAAGGCGCGCGATCAATTTTAAATGGCTCAAAAATTGCGCGGATGGATAAATAAAACATAATCATACCTTTGTCTCCTATTGCAAGGACTGACCAGGTATGAAAGATGCTGGGTCGCGTTGCAGAGCTGCATACTTTATTGCTGGGTCAAATTGAGTGAAACTTATAACCGCATAACAAAAGTAATGTCATTTTTCCATTTTATTAGCTTTTAACTTAAATTTTTTAACAAAATTATGCTTAAAATTACTTTACAAGTCTTGCGTGTAGCGAATATAAAGGTATTCAAATCGTTATTTCATAACTACTGGAATTTGGCGACGCGGTGCTCATATGTGGCTATTTTTTTCTGCGCTTCTGAAGCAAGTAAACCGAGAATTCGACGTCCGAAATGCTATATTCGATGTCTAAAATCTTATTTTGGACGTCCGAAATCTTGTATTTGATGTCTAAAATCTTATATTCGATGTCCGAAATCATATATTCGACGTCTGAAATACTATATTCGACGTCCGTGAACCTATATTCAACGTCCAAATTCTAATATTCGATGTCTAAAATTCAATATTCGACATGCGAAAATATTGTATTCGATGTCCGAAATCCTGTAAGCCCCCGCTCAAAAAAAATTGTAATTATCCAGTTAGATTGAAGGCTAGGAAAGCAGATTGCGCAGGAAACTCAAATTTTCAGATCATTCCTGACCCTAAATTCTTAATTTTCAGTTGATATATATATATTTATATCTACCCAGACTGGGCCACGCAATATTAAAAGCCGGCAAGACATGTCTGGCCTGAATTTTCATATAATAGGATTCATGGTGTCGGTTAATATGCCATATTGCGCAAAAATTTACCAAAATTCCATCACATATGACTCTCACGGGCGTGGTAGTGACGTCGTCGTCATCGTTTCATAAAGATAGAAAGAGCAGCCCAAACTCTCTTTTTGTGACGCAACACGTCTCCTGAAATTTGAAAGAGAGAAAACAATTTCACTTTCCGCTCAAAAGTAGTGAGTCAGCTTGCATAGGATATATTCCGATGCGAATAGACTGAAGCTTCATTCTAATCTTCGCTGTTCGAAAATTTACTTTCATCGAAGCAAAGTTGACGAAATTCTTGGATTCGAAATGAAGATTCCGATTCGACACAGTTTCATCGGACTCATACTGTTGATGGAAGCTTGTTTATTGATTAAAGGTCAGTACAACCGTGCATGCTTTGTTGGGTTTGCTTGCTTGCCTGAGTTTTGTTTTTTAGGGCGCACTAAAACTGACATGAGCAAACTATGGCCGGCGGGCCTATACTTGGCCAGTTTGTTAATTTAATTTGGCCCGCCTGATGCTACCACAACCAAACTAAAACCCAATTTGGATGTTTAAGCTAAAAAATAGCTCAAGGAATTTGAGGAAATTATGATTAAATTTTGGTAGGAGGCTTATGGTTTCCTCTTCTGCTTTTGTAAAACCGTTAAGACTGTTGATGAAATGTGACTTTTTGCGTCACACTTACATGGCCCGCCAGTCTAGATGGGTAAAATTTTTGACCCCATGTCCAAAAACCTTGCCACCCCTGCACGATAAAATAAATAAAAGATTATATAAAAATAAAAATAAGATTAGTAGTTTATAGAAGGGTTAGTTATTTAAAAATTATATAAAGGCTCAAACAATCAGGCCATTGATATCCAAACGGCATGAACGCTTTATATAGGTATTAAGGGCGCTCCGGTAGTATGTGCACTAAGATGGCGCACAACCTGAACATGGTATGTGTACCAGGCTAGGATTATCAGATTGTGCGCCATCTTGGTGCGCTCCGGTAGTATGTGCACCAAGATGGCGCACAACCTGAACATGGTATGTGTACCAGGCTAGGATTATCAGATTGTGCGCCACCTTGGTGCGCTCCGGTGGTATGTGCACCAAGATGGCGCACAACCTGAACATGGTATGTGTACCAGGCTAGGATTATCAGGTTGTGCGCCATCTTGGTGCGCTCCGGTAGTATGTGCACCAAGATGGCGCACAACCTGAACATGATATGTGTACCAGGCTAGGATTATCAGGTTGTGCGCCATCTTGGTGCACATACTACCGGAGCGCCGTATTAAGATTATAAGTATAGAATACAGAAATCAAATAATATACGTTCTCATTGTAACAGTGTATTGGTGACATTATTGTAGATATTCTAATATTTTTTCTAAACCACATCGAAAAACTTAAATATGAAAAATAGGACTCCAGAAGTGTGTGTACCAATATGAAGGTGACTCATTTTGTTCGCCTATTTTACATCAAGTTGTGTAAAGGAACTGAAACATATGGGCAGGGTGGTATTCACTCGGCTAACACAGATGGCCCAACAACTCGTAATATAAATGAAATAAAATTTTAATTATTGTTGATTTTACAAAAGCAAAAAGTAAAATAAATACTAAAAACCTCCCCAGCGATTTTCGAATATAAAAATTAGTTAATTATTTAAAAATTCTATGAAGACTCAAACAATCAGGCCATTGATATCCAAACGGCATGAACGCTTTATATAAGTATTTTAAGGGCGCTCCGATAGTATGTGCACGAATTCAACAAATTTTAACATTTCATAATGTATTCGTGAATTGGTGATTTAGCCAATATAGGTGACACGGCGTAACTGTGAATTGAAACAATTCATTTGACCAATTTTCAAATTTTTCGTTTTACGACTGGAATATTTGTATTAGGAGGAATATTCATTTATTGCGGCGTAGGGGAAGCCGGTATGATGGCGTAATAATATGACGAACCTCGGTCTCTCGATGAAAGTTGAACCAAAATTTGAATTTTGAAAATATTAATTTTTCATCTGATAGATTTCCCCCTCGAATACCTCGTTGATTTTGTCTCGTATTGGACGCGTTGCTGTACTGTAAACAGGGCTGAGTTTACCAGGCAAAATAGGCCTTGGGGTCTCAAGTCTTAGGGACCTCGGCATTCAATTTTGTACTATTATTCGGTTTTAAGTCACTTTTGAATTGTAAAAGATTGTTATAGAATAAAAACAATTCAGAATTTTATGAAGCTGATATTAATCAAATAAATTCTCGTCTCAAATACCCACCGTTTCGAAAATTAAAAATAGTAGACTAACAAATTTGTATAAATTCAAAAAATTGTACTCTGGTCTCATGGCGTTTTATTACGACGCAATTTCTTAATCTACTTGTGCAATTGGCATGCTACCAGTAGCTAAAATAACATGTAATTTATTTATGACGTCATAATGTATTTTTTTTTATGACGTTATTGTTTAAGAGGACTCTCGAAAACTCAGCAGCCTAGGGCCTCTTGTCGTCTGAATTTCGCCCTGACCGTGGATCTTACTAAATGGCCCTTCCTTCACTGTAAAACGATTTTTGTTTTGAAATCTCCAATGAGAGAACTTCCTCATTCAAAATGTTTTGGTTTTTAAAGCTAAATCCTAAATAAATATCGCCAAATACACTCAAATGTTCAGAAGTGAAAAATCGCTCATAGATTAGCGGGTGTGTTGGCCCATTGGTAAAGCGTTGGACTTATATTTTAGCATCGCAGGTTAAAAACTCGCGTTCCATTTTTTATACACCAAGGGATTTATAGAAACCGACGGTATGAATCAAATCTTTGCCTATGGCGCACGTTCGATGATCATTATTAGGTTCCTCAACGGCGGGCGTGAAATTCAAATTTGATTCGACCAATCATCATCGAGGAAAATAGTGCGTTCGCATGACGTAGGTAGCAGTATAAAATTAAATATGGAATAAGCGAATGCGCGCCATAAGGAAATAGGTCCTGAAATAGTCTTTATATAAAAAAAGTTCAGCGACATAACTTTCGTTTATATGTTAAAAAACCTATTTTAAAATGAACGATTAACCCGATTTCTAATTTTATTTTTTTTCTAACAGGAGAGGAATGCTGGATTCCTATGATTTGCGACGATCAACCTACTTGGAGAGAACTTACGGTGAGAGCTTTAGTAGTAGTTTCATACTGGTGGTATTTCACTTTAATCCATGGGAACACTTTTTCACGGGGAACACTTGCTGAGCTAATGCCTTAATGCATGGATGTGCAACCTTCATGTCCATATATTTGAACATTTCTCTCTTGTTCTATTTCAGGAAGGACAGTGCACAAAAGAAGAAGAGAAAGCTTTGGAAGGTTCGTGTCCACAATATTACTTCCTTTAAAATGCCTTTGCTATTTTTCATATTTGACAAACGGTATGATAGCTAACAATCGTTTAGGTACCCCTGAATTATGCGTACCAAGATGGCGGAAATAGGAACGTAGTATGTTTACCATGTTAGGGTGAGGCTATAATTTAAGGTGCAAATATTAGTTACCTAATTAGTCCTCCAACTTGTAATTGAACTAAAATAAGAAAAATCAGAATAAAATTAGGACCTAATCCTAACCTGGTACAAATATTAAGTTCCAATGTCCTCCATCTTGGTACGCATTCTTCAAGAGCACCACCGTTTTATCAGTGAATTTCAATCATTTTCTATTTTTATTGCGCCATTTGACCAATCAAATCATGACATATAGTTTAGCAATACCCATCTCATATTCTTATATTGAACCAGAGAGAGGGGGATTCATATCTTCTAAAAAAAAATTCACTGGATACGGATTGTAAAACTGATGGCAATTTAAATTCGTTTTTTTTTCGTTTCGCAGCTTTAACGGAACGATTAGACGGAATGAAAAGTGAGCTCAATCAATTAGAAAAGGTGTTGGAAGAATCAGAGACGAACTCAGTGCAGCCCTCTGTTGTAGGAGTCAAAGAAATGACCAATCCCCAGGGTATGAAAATACATGTATTTTGGTATCTCATGCACTTGATATCGAAAAAGTCCTTTTCAGTAATAGTAATCGGTAATAAGGCGATTGTGCGAAAACGCTGATATTGCGTGTCTCATTCTTAACTTGAAGTATCCGAACCTTCAAATCTTGCTATAAACTTATAATAAAAATTCACTTTTTCACACAGGTAACAAAGTCAAGAACACGACGCGCTCTTCAACCGTCCCTGCTACATCCCCGTGGTCAACTAAGGAAGCCTTTCTGTCTACTGTGCTCCCACAAACTACAAAAGTCGAACAGAGTACAGGTTGGTGTGGCCTTTTCTTTCTCGTTTTTCACTCGGAAAATATTTCTTCCCTAAACGCTTTTTAGTACACGTTAAATATCTTAATTAGGAATTCTCCAGAACAAGAAAATCGCGATTGTTTCCGGAAAAGTAGATTCTTATGTATGTATTAGTAATTGTCTTGTCTAGCAAATTGTTTGGAGTGAGATTCGAAAACGAATCACGAAAACACTAAATGTATTTGCTCGAATAAAAGATATCAACGTTATGGCCTCAGATTATCCTTGAAAAAATGACTTTCTTTATCCATGAAAGGCGCCTTAAAATAGGACTTAGCAAAATTGCCTTAAGATGGCGTCATAGTTCGAGCGTTGCTCCTCTTTATGCCCTATAGTGTTGTTGCTGCTCTGTTCGACTCAAGAAATCGGATACTGGCGTAGTTAAGTAATTAAAGCGGGCACCCTTATCGGATTAAGTAATCCCCAAAAAATATCGTGAAAACGTCCGTATGTTTTGTCGTGTTTTTTTCCTCAATTTGGGTGGAATTTCCCTACTTTCCGCACGGTGAAGTTTTTCTAATGTCAATATGTGTTTTATATATGTCGACCAAACTTTTAGGGCCTCATTCAGAAAATTGCATGTGACATCACAATTACTATTCCCATTCACTATGATAGTGTCGAATTTAATGGTGGCTGAACCGGAAATGATAAAACATTGATACTGTGGGTCTCGTGTAGTTTCTTATCTGAATAACTTCTAGTGGGTGTGGCGTAACAATTTTTGGATATATTATTCCTGACCCCCACCTGCTTACGTCATCAAAAAATCAAGAGCTGATTGCCCGCACGAAAGGCAGTGAGGGTTGTAGCTTGGTCATCCAGGCTCTAAATTATATTATAACGTAACAAGTATATAATTCACAATTACTCGTTTAATGAGCCTATAATTTAATTATCATTGGCCCGCCATGACTTGCAACCTTTAATTTTGGCCCGACAAAAGTTTGCCGAGCCCTGCTCTAAATTCTTGGTTTTTTTTTGTATGTTTTTTATTCGAGGTTAAGGAGATGAAAATACCTATGAAATTAGAATTTGGCAAATTTGTTGAAAAGTCTAGTCTGCACCTTATAACTGTTTCAATGTTCAGTTACAGTACGTACCTGCCCAGTACCTGAAGCTCTAGAAAACGGGATTGTGGACACTACGACCGCACCTGACTTAGAGTTTGGTCAAACAATCGAATATTCATGCAATGCTGGATACGTTCTTCAAGGATCAAACATGGGAAAATGCGGAGAAAATGGAACCTGGGGGGAAGTGCCCACCTGCGTAGGTGAGTGTTGACGCTTTGTATTCGAGGATAATTTTTAACTCCAGGGTGTTCGGTTGTTGGTGCCTCGTGTAGTTTCGTATCCCAAGTACTTCTAGTGAGTGTAGCATAACGATTTTTGCACATGTCAATCCTAACCCCCACCTGACTATGCCATCCAAAAATTAGCTGAAACAAATGACTAGTTAGCTATTTCTAAATACAACATGGACTGGTAATGAGACCACTAGTGGGATTCGCTATTTAATTGAGCCGTCTCGTCTCATTGACTTTCCTCTCCCATGAGATGAATCGGCCCTACCAAAAATCCGATCTTGAAAACTTAGCAAATTCCTAATTAAAATCTGACTCTCATTCAAATGAAATTTACACTTCTCAAGTCCAATTCATGCAAGCCTGGCTAACTATACTGTTATGAATTATTAGCAAACCTGCCTTTTGAGTTTTTATTGATAATTTTGACTTGTTTACATTGAAAGTCTGACATTAGGACATTTGATTATCTCTGGACTTAGTTTTTAACCCAATGTCGATTGTGAATTTCATCTGACTTTACAGCCCTGTTCACAGTAAAATAATATTTGGTTTAGGCCAGAATACGAGGCTAGGTCTTTAAAAAAGTTCTTTTATGTTTTTCAGTCGATCTTACTTGTGATTTTGAGTCTTCAACCAACCCTACATGCGGCTACATGAGATTTAATGGAACATTTGAAAGGACTAAGGACATTACAGGTATTTTTTCCATATGAAATGAGTGAGTGCCTGTAACTTTGGTTACAAGGAGGCTTCTTTACAACTGAGTGAGTGTTCGTAACTTTGTTTACAAATGAGTCACCTTTACTTTCTGAGTGAGTGCCTGTAACTTTGCTTGCAAATGAGTCACCTTTACTTCTGAGTGAGTGCCCGTAACTTTGCTTACAAATGAGTTACTTTTACTTCTGTGTGAGTGCCCGTAACTTTGCTTTCAAATGAGTCTCCTTTACTTCTGAGTGAGTGCCTGTAACTTTGCTTACAAATGAGTCACCTTTACTTCTGAGTGAGTGCCCGTAACTTTGCTTTCAAATGAGTCTCCTTTACTTCTGAGTGAGTGCCCGTAACTTTGCTTGCAAGTAAGTCTCCTTTTCTTCTGAGTGAGTACCTGTAACTTTACTTACAACTGAGTCTCCTTTTCTTCTGAGTGAGTGCCTGTAACTTTACTTACAACTGAGTCTCCTTTACTTCTGAGTGATTGCATGTAACTTTACTTACAACTGAGTCTCCTTTACTTCGGAGTGAGTGCCTGTAACTTTACTTACAACTGAGTCCCCTTTACTTCTGAGTGATTGCATGTAACTTTGCTTACAAATGAGTCACCTTTACTTCTGAGTGATTGCATGTAACTTTACTTACAACTGAGTCTCCTTTACTTCTGAGTGAGTGCCTGTAACTTTACTTACAACTGAGTCTTCTTTACTTCTGAGTGATTGCATGTAACTTTGCTTACAAATGAGTCACCTTTACTTCTGAGTGATTGCATGTAACTTTACTTACAACTGAGTCTCCTTTACTTCTGAGTGAGTGCCTGTAACTTTACTTACAACTGAGTCTCCTTTACTTCTGAGTGATTGCATGTAACTTTGCTTTCAAATGAGTCTCCTTTACTTCTGAGTGAGTGCCTGTAACTTTGCTTACAAATGAGTCACCTTTACTTCTGAGTGAGTGCGCGTAACTTTGCTTTCAAATGAGTCTCCTTTACTTCTGTGTGAGTGCCCGTAACTTTGCTTGCAAGTAAGTCTCCTTTTCTTCTGAGTGAGTGCCTGTAACTTTAGTTACAACTGAGTCTCCTTTTCTTCTGAGTGAGTGCCTGTAACTTTACTTACAACTGAGTCTCCTTTACTCTGAGTGAGTGCCTGTAACTTTACTTACAACTGAGTCTCCTTTTCTTCTGAGTGAGTGCCTGTAACTTTACTTACAATTGAGTCTCCTTTACTCTGAGTGAGTGCCTGTAACTTTGCTTGCAAGTAAGTCTCCTTTTCTTCTGAGTGAGTGCCTGTAACTTTACTTACAACTGAGTCTCCTTTTCTTCTGAGTGAGTGCCTGTAACTTTACTTACAACTGAGTCTCCTTTACTCTGAGTGAGTGCCTGTAACTTTACTTACAACTGAGTCTCCTTTACTCTGAGTGAGTGCCTGTAACTTTACTTACAACTGAGTCTCCTTTACTTCTGAGTGAGTGCCTGTAACTTTACTTACAACTGAGTCTCCTTTACTTCTGAGTGATTGCCTGTAACTTTACTTAAAACTGAGTCTCCTTTACTCTGAGTGAGTGCCTGTAACTTTGCCTACAACTGAGTCTCCTTTACTCTGAGAGAGTGCCTGTAACTCTGCTCGTTTGAAAATACTCAAGCTCTATCCCAGTTCTCACACCAGATATACTCACATTTCTCATTCCAATTTATTCTAGGTTATGTTCTTGCTGGTAACGGTACAATCAGATCCTTACCCAAGGCTTTGGCTGGCAATGAGGAACTATGCATGAGTGTCGACCTAAAAGGGACATCTGATGGAGAACTGGTGGCCAAGGCTCACAATGGAACTGTAACGTGAGTAGCTAACAATGCATTTATTTTTCACCCAAATATTTCCCGCTTTCACCCCAAAGAAAGCTTTGTATTGGCAGCCGCTATACAGTGAGGATTTATAATTAAAAAAAAAAACAATAACGGAATTTGAAATTCAGTGTTTTAGATCATGCTTGTGCCACCTGCCGCCAGAAAGAAAATGCGGCTCACAAAAAAAAATTGTGAAACCCGCGGCATAGTGCCAGTTTTGTAAAATGTGCGGCTTGCAAAACAAATTTTTAATTTAATCTGATACGTTTGAGTAATTCCAATCCCTTTGCGTTGCGAAACCTATATTTCGGTCCAAATTATTATCTATGCCTATGAACATGTCATGTTGTCAAGCAAAGCCTATGTTAAATAAAAGTGTGGGCCGCGGCTTCACCCAGTTATTTGTATTTGGCCCTTTCTATTTAAGGTTGCTCGCCCCTGTTTTAGAGTATTCCAAAAAATTTGCTTTGAGTATCATCTGGGAACAAAACTACTTGCAAGCACTGTAATATGAAGATCTGCTAAAACTATAAATAACTATAGCGGTGAATTTCACATTGGTAAATGCTGATTGGCGGGAGACTTGAGACAGTTAAATTTAATGCGCTCGGAAACAGAGCTGAAAAATAGACTTCATGTAAATGGGATTCCTTGAAAAAACCGAGTATAACATATTTTGATTTTTGTGGAAGTCTATGTAAAGGCAGCAATTATATGTTTTGTAACTTTTAGGAAAGCAATCTGGCCGTTTTCTGCCTCGACTACCTGGAAAACAGAGAAATTCGTTTTAAAGAAAGCAAACTCTACAGATACCGAGGTTTGTAACACATCTTTTAGCAAAAATTGGGAAAATTGGAATTTTAAAATTGGAAAATTTAATTCGGAATTGCTTGGGATGTGAATCCCATCTCATAAAACGCGAAAGCTTTTTAAAATTTTGGTAGGGCGTAGTCTAGCTCTGATATGGGCAAACTGCGGCCCGCGGGCTAAATTCAGCCAGTTGGGAAATTCAATCTGGCCCGCCTGATCCTGCCACAACCAAACTAAACCAAATTTTGATCTTTTAGCTGAAAATTAACTCAATGAATTTGTTAAAAATGCGATTAAAATGTTTTTTACTCTTGCTTTTGCAAATGTAAATATTGTTCATGAAATGTAACTTTTCACGTCGAACTTACATGGCTCACCAGTCTAAATGTCCAATGCTGCGCCAGGTCCAGATCTAGTTTTATCAGCGCGCAGAGGGTTGTAATCATTTCTTTGCATAATTGGAGTTTATCTAGAATTCATTTACAAACAGGAAACACATATAACCAGCTTTCCTCTCCGTATGTATCAACCTCAAATGTAGATCTTCTGAATTTGTGAGAATCCACTTGCAATTATGATACGTTCAAAGACTGTGAAGACACTCTAGCCTGTTCTGAGCGACAGGGTGCATTAGCGCAATTTCAGACGCTGTGTGTAAACCATGAGGTCTGGAATGTTTGTTATGGTCTTGTTTGGAAGAATAGCTCATTTCCTACCCAGCAATATAAGAATGAACGTTATATGACATTTGGAAGTAATAAAATATCGCTTACATTTCACGAGTGTACTTCCCGCTGCGATAGAAAAACGTCGCACAGCAAGAAAATAATTCAATAAACCTTGGCGTTGCGCGCTAACCAATAACAAAAGCTAGTATGATAAGGTCTTATTTTGAAGGTCCTTTTATATGCTACATAACATAGGAGAGTGGACATCTCACAACGTCAGGAAGGTATAAAAATATCGAGTCGTTTGATCGCAGCTGCCTCACCGAAAAAAAGTTAGTTCACATAGGCGTTTTATCTCGCAAATTCTCCTTGTCTCACGATTATAAGCTTTTATGATTCATAATAAATGTTTTATTATGACTCACAAAAGCTTTCAACGCGATAAAGCACAAACAAACAACCGATCGATCTATCAAGCCTAGCCTGGCCTGATTCGATGTGGTGACTTCTCAAACGGAAAATTTTCAAAACGCTTCAACGACACGAGCTAACGAAAAGCGTTTAGTATCATATGAAAGAGAAAACCAATGTGCAGTCAACTGTATAGTCACATTTGCGCTTTTCAATAGCTATACACGTCCAACAGATGATAGAATGAGAGAGTGTAAATATTTTTGTTATTTTTTGACGTTACGAGAGACCTCTTGAAAGAGGTGTTTTAGTTTACGGTCCTCCAGTGACATCTAGCGTATAGTACTCTAAAAGACCTTTCCAATGGTATATAATTATTGTATATTGGGTAAATTTTGGGGGTCGTATGACATTAATAAAAATGTATTCAAAATTGGGCTCGATTGGGCGTCTGAATCAGGCTAGACCAGACATGGGCAAAGTACAACCCGCGGGCCAAATCCAGCCCGTTGAATTCTGGCGCGCCCGATGCTGCCACATTCGAACTAAAATCAAATTTAGGCGTTTTAGCTTAAAAAAATAGTTCAAGGAATTGGTTGAGATTGCGGATAAAAACGAGATTCATTGATTTTAAACTATGCTTTTTTTAATATTTTCCTTTAACGTAACCTTTTATGTCATTTTTACATTGCCCGCTAGTCTGGATGGGCAAATTTTTTGCCCTTTGTCTGATAACCTTGCCCACTCCTGCTCTGGAGTCTATCTCGCTGTTCTGCTCAAACTTCAATCTTTTTTATTTCATTCAGGTCCAACTTGAGCTTGAGGCATCCGGGAATGTAGAGTTAGACAACATAACCACATTGAACTCTTCCGAATGTTATGGTCTAGGTAAATAAGTAAGATTCCAGAATTTTAAATAAATGTATCAATGACTGTTTTCACAAAGCCTTATTCGAAGTGACAAAAAATTTCACAAATTTCGGCAAGCGATTGCGAGTTGAATTAAATTTTTTTACTATTTTCTTGTAGCTACACCATGTGCTAAGCGAAATCTTGAGAACGGAAAAATTTTTCCTGAGCAGGAATTGTACAGTGAGGATCAGAAGGTCAGTTACTCTTGCAGCAATGGTTACATTTTGGAAGGGAGACAGACGGGAACATGCAAAGCTGATGGTTCATGGTCCACAACACCAGCATGCACTCGTGAGTTTTTTCTTTAGCCCACAGACCATTCAATCATCCCCATTTCTAACCTGATGTCTATATGACAGCACAATAGCCCTTTATAGGGAAGGCCATTTAAATAGCGATTGGGACCATATATCCATCCCTGTTCCTAATAAGCTGTCCATATGGCAGTACAATAGCCCTGTATGGAGGGGATCATTTATATGGCGATTAGGATTGTATTCCAATCCCTATACCTGACCTGCTGTCCGTATGGCAGCACAATAGCCCTGTATGCATGAGACCATTCAAATAGCGATTGTGGTCATATATCCATCATATGTTCATGAATGTTAGATGCCAACACAGATGTGTTTAACGCTTTTACCGCAAGGCCATCGTGGCCACAAAACTATGCATGTTTCTACTGAACACGGCTTTGAGAGCGCACAGGAGCTGTAAGACGTAGTGTACCAAATACTCTGCAAGTTAAGTTGAACTTCCTTATCCTTTGTTTTCTCGTAGTTATACAATGTGTGAAGCAAAATCTTGAGAAGGGAACAATTTCTCCCGAGCAGGAATTGTACAATCAAGATCAGGAGGTCAGTTACTCTTGCAACTATGGTTACACTTTGGAAGGGGGACAGACGGGAACATGCAAAGCTGACGGTTCATGGTCCAAAACACCAGTGTGCACTCGTAAGTCTTTTTCTTTAGTGATTACGACTATCCAACGATCCCCCTTTCAAACCTGATTTCCTAGGGCAGGCCGATTGCCCTGTATAGGGGAGGCTATTTAAAAACTGTTTGGAACCATATATCCATCCCTGTTTCTAACCTGCTGTCTATGTGACAGTTCAATAATCCTTCATGGAAGGGGCCATTTATATGGTGATTGGGCCCATATACACATCTCTATTTCTAACCTGCTGTCTATATGGCACTCCAATAGCTCTGTAAAGGGGAGGCCATTTAAATGGCGACTGGGGTCTAATATCCATGTATGTGAGATAGCTGTGTTTAACCGTCTTACGGCAATGCCATCGTGAAAAAGGTTTTGAGAGCGCACAGGAGCTGCTAGACTTAGTGTATCAAATACTCCCTAGGTTAGGTTTAACTTTTTCATCATTTGTTTTCATGTACAGCTACACAGTGTACGAAGCGAAATCTTGAGAAGGGAACAATTTCTCCTGAGCAAGACTTGTACAGTCAGGATCAGGAGGTCAGTTACTCTTGCAACTATGGTTACACTTTGGAAGGGGGACAAACGGGAATTTGTAAAGCTGACGGTTCATGGTCCACAACACCAGCGTGCACTAGTAAGTTTTTTCTCTAGCGATTAATCCTATTCCTAAACTGCAGACTACATGGCAGCCCAATAGCCATGTATGGGGGACAATATCTCCATCCCATAACTTGCTGTCATTACGGCAGCTTAATAGCCCTTTGTGGAGGAGACCATTCAAATAGCGATTGAGGTAATATTACCATGTATGTGAGATACAAACACAGCTGTGTTTAGCGCTTCAAACGCAAGGCCATCGCGACCACAAAATTGTGCATGTTTCCTCTTAACAAGGCTTTGAGAGCATTCAAGAGCTGTTAGGCTCAGTGTACCAAATACTCTGCAAGTTAAGTTGAACTTTTTCATCATTTGTTTTCTAGTAGCTATACAATGTGTGAAGCGAAATCTGGAAAAGGGAACAATTTCCCCTGAGCAGGAATTGTACAATCAGAATCAGGAGGTCAGTTACTCTTGCAACTATGGTTTCACTTTGGAAGGGGGACAGACAGGAACATGCAAAGCTGACGGTTCATGGTCCACAACACCAGTGTGCACAAGTAAGATTTTTCTATATCAATCAAGACCATTTAACCATCCCCATTTTAAACCTACTGTCTATGTAACAGGGTATATCGGCCATTTAAAAAGCGATTGGGACCATATATTCATTCCTGTTTCTAACCTGCTGTCTATATGGATGCCCAGTAGCCTTGTTTAAGGGAGGCAATTTGAATGGCGATTCGGACCATATACTGCATTCATCCATATTTTAACCCACTGTATATTTGGTAGCCCACTAACCCTGTATGGAGGAAGCCATTAAAATGGATGGGGGCCAATCTCTATTCCTAAGCTGCTGCCTATATGACAGTCCAATGGCCCTGTATGGAAGTGGCGATTTAAATGGGGATTGGCCATCGGCTTGCACGACCGAAATAAATTCCGTAATCACGGCAAAATCGCTTGTGCAATGACCCCGTAATTGTTATTGTTTTACTCGGATTGAATTTAAAATATGGAATCAAGGCGATATGCGTTGCAAGCATCGACTTACATTTCAAGCTATTTCCATAGTATGTAAACCAAGATGGCGTACACCGGAACGTAGTATGTGTACCAGGTTCGAGTTAGGCCATAACATCAGGCACAAATACTTCAGAAGTTACTTGAATAGTCCTCGAACTCGCGATGGAACTGAAATAGGGGAGAATGGAATACAATTATGGCCTCAACCTAACCTGGTACACATACTACGTTCTGGTGACCGCTATTTTGATTCACATACTACGAGAGCGGAGCGCCCATTTCAATGCTAATACCTGACGAACAAAATGAAGCGGACGAATGGTTATACCAATCTGCGACAACGAAAAGCGATGAAGCAGCATTGTGCTAAAATTAATAGGAGCTATTATTTGCAAAGTTAACTAAAAGTGTAAATTATTTTGACTTTGAATGAATCCGCTTATTTTTCATACTTTTGTTGCGACGTAAACAAAGAACATTGCGATAATTTATTGCGCAACCCAAGAATGATATTTGTACATGTCTGATCACAAAACTTAAGTCCAATCCCTGACCCTGAAAGTTGGTTTTTGGCTTTGTCATCCCGCATGAGTTATGCAAATGTGAAATCTCATTACTAGCGAACCCAATATTACATTTAGATAAATTTTATATTCTTTGAAAGACAATAATCTAAGAGGCTAATTATGATTCTGAAATAAAAATAAAATTTCGCGATTATCCTACAAAATTGGCAAAATTGAAAAGCGTGAAAATTTCTTGAAAATCTTTCCAATCAAATAACAAAAGGGCAGAATAGCAATATTAATAAATCGGCGATTTTCTTTTCTTGGCGAGATTGTAGTGAGAGTATCATTAAAGTAACTATTCATTGATAATCGTATTGTAATCAGTGGCAGATCGGCGGGTTTTAGGCTACGAACTCTGTCTCTTAAAATTTTCTGAAGACCAAAAATGTAGCTAATGACTCACTAACCATTATTTAGAGAATCCTTGTTGACTTTGTTTTCTATTCCTAAAAATTAAATTAGGAGAGTGCTCTCTCCTGAACTCGGGCCGTATGTGTCTCGCGAGCGATTGTCGCTGGACTGCTGGCATAGCACTCTCTCAAAAATTAAGACATCCCTCCGGTTTTCATGGTTTCACTCTGAACAACATTTTACACAATAAACTATTGCGACGTAAAGAGCTAGGCGTAAAAACACATCCATTCTGACTATGTCCTGTACAAGCAATTATTGATATGTGAGCAGATGCTGTTATTACCGGTAGTTTCACATTCTCTCTGAACAAGGCTCTACGGAGGCAACCAAAGACAGGCGAAGGCCTATTGATTTCAGCCATCTCTTTACTCAGAACAAGACTCTGTACAAACGTCCAAAGATAGGCAACGAGCTATTATTTCTCAAACGACCAGGAGATTTTTACATAATAAATGCAAATAAGAAACTGTACAGGTAACCACTGATACTGCTGATTAATCGCGACATTCACAGGCGATCGTGTCGGTTGTCTATGAATTTGCGTTGTTGGGACAAAAGAAGTTTTTTTAAAACTTTTGTTATCTGAAATTTAATACGTTATAGCCTTTCCTGATCATAATTAATCACAAGTCCCATCGGTATGTGTTATCCTGCGCATATCTAACTGTTATACTTCTATTGCTTTAAATAGCTCAGTGGTTGCCCGTAATTTGCTCAGAGATATGTTTAATTTATTTCTGAGTGAGTTCGCGTGTGATTGCTTGAAGCAAATATGATGAAGTATGATCAAAACTACTAGAGGGTCCACAATCTTATTATGGTTAAAAAGTTCAAAAAACAATTATTCAGAATAAAACTTTTTAATTAAAACGTAGAAATATATATTCTCCCTAATAATTGTTTCATAAATATCTGTCTTCAAATACTTTTGACTGTTATTTTTATTTTAGAATGTGGCGTTGAATATAATTTAAAATGTTTTCGAGCGATCGTTTACAATACACATAACGTCACGTTGAGAGTCGCTGAAACTCTTTGCAAAAACAAATTGGCTAACATTTATGACGTCACACACTACAAACTGATTCAAGATTATTTACGACCAATGATTCCTGATGGAGAATCACACATTTGGGTTCGTACGGGAATGACTTACAAGGTAGATCGAGTCTGAATCATTTTGCTTATGCGGCCATACATGAAATCATTATAAAATGTTATTTATAATATAATATATAAATGTTATGGCCGATATTGTTACCGCACTACAATGTGCTATTACATTTTGTTTTTAAACTCATATAACGGTAGCATAGGATGGAAGTTAAAATCGAATTCTACCGGATTAGAAAAATTCGTTTGCCAGAGTTTCTACTTTCCATCAAAAAAAGTTCCGGGTAATTCAGCAATTTTACTTCAACACCAGTGGAACGTTTCAACTTTACAGCTCTGATACTAAATCAGAGAAGACCAATCCAAACTAATTTGATTTGACTGAAGTGTGACTGAGCGGAATAATTACGTGATGATGTCACGCTTCATTCAGTTTTGTACTGGACACCAAATAAATTTGTTTTGCTTTGTCAGATCGTAAGGCAAGGATTACGGGTTCAACCAAATTCTCAAACTGCCTTTTGTTATATTTCTGAAAATATATTTTATATCGACAGGACGGTCAGCTGTATTCAACGACGGGCCAAGCTATGTCTCTACCAACTGAGGTTTGGCGTAATGGGTATCCGTATTCCGATGCATCGTACACAACTGTTGTTGTTGTTGTCAACCGAAACCCGGATGATCAAGGGATTTCTAATGTTCCTCCTTTCTATTTATATCACGGAGCCATCTGTGAAATTGAATTATAACTCTGTACATTGAATGATCGATAAACAAAAACTGTAAAATTACTTAAGTTTGAGATTAATTGTTATTCACCCTAGTAGATTTATTAAAACTTTAACTTACTATTTCCACAGTTGAACAAGCTTATGCTGTTGAATTCCCGAATATTCGTTATCCATACATTCAGCTTAATTTACACCCAAATTCACTATTTCCACGTATCACAGTTGAACAAGCATATAAAGTAAATAGATTCTGCATGCGGTATATAAACCTCATATCAAATTCATTGTTAGATTTCTACCAAACGAACTATTTTTCATTTCTTAGATGTGTCCAAAAAAAGTTTGAATTTATTATTTTAACTCAATTTGTTTCTGTCTGAATTTGAATAATCTTAAAAATTTGGCGATTTGGTTTATTCAAATATATATTACATGTCCAGGAAATTTCAATAAATTGGAAAAATGGTCGATACTCTAGGAATAACGGCTTCGTACCTGTAACCTATTTAGAGTCTAAATATCGTAAAATTCAAATTTTCGAAAATTACAGGAAGAAATTGTTTTCAGATATTTGTCATTGAACTTTTTTTGGATAAAGCTGTGAAATCGAGGGAAAATCGCAATCGACTCTGAAAAAAATCAAATTTTAACGATAAAAACTTTGGTAAATGCAAACTTCTCCGTTGAACCTCCCAGACTCGCCGCCCATCGACTCTTTAAGCCATGAAAAAAAGTTCATTTCTTTTGCTATATCTTTCTTGTGTGTGAATTAGTGTGATATACAATAGGTATATACAGATATTTTATTTGTTAGATGTGTTTCTGGATCTTATCATTTGTTGACATGATATTTTATCAATTAAAGTTCAAATTATTTTTCACGAACTGAACTTAACAAATGAAATTCATAGAAAATAATTTGAACTTTCAGAGCAGAAATATTATTTGCTACTTTGTGTAAATAAACTTGTCTTGCAAAACGTCATCGATGTATTTTAAAAACGATAAAGACTAAATTCATTTCCCAAAAAACTAAGAAATTAGCTTTATCAGAGAATCGGTATCAAAAAACAGTCATATTGAAATTGTCAAAATAAGACAAAATTTTTCCAGGAGCATCCTCCGAGCATGTCGAATTTTTCACTCGAACTTATAGAAAATCAAATTTGGTTGAGAAATCCTTTACAACTATCAAGTTGTTTTACCTTAACTTTGGGTTCGAGTTTTCAATTTGTATTTTAGATTTAAAAACTGAAATCAATTACAGCATTGTCTTTGCTTTACAATAGCAAGTTTTATTACTCACAGGTCTCTTAACATTTTATTTTTCTTGTGTGTGAATTCTGAGGATTGATGATTTTTTTTTATTATATTTGCTATCGCATTTCATTTATTTGAATTGTTCTTAATCACGCCACTAAATAAGATATTTTCCTGGTTATTCAATAGTTAAAAAAGCTGAAAAATATTTTGAAACTTCAGTGGGACAAGAACAAAATACAAGGAAATGTTAGGAATTTATCAAAATTAAAACAAATTACAGCATTATCTTCTCTTTAAATCAAGTTTTATTTTTCGTATGCCCCTCCCTCCTCGGGCTCTCAAAACATGACAAAAATTTTATTTTATTTGTTTTTCAATTTTCTTGTGTGTGAATTAGTGTGATATACAATATGTACAGATATTTTGTTTGTTAGATGTGTTTCTGGATCTTATCATTTTTTGGCAAAATATTTTGTCAATGAAAGTTCAAATTATTTTTCACGAACTGAACTTAACAAATGAAATTCATGAAAAATAATGTAAACTTTCAGTGCAGAAATATTATTTGCTACTTTGTGTGAATAAAATTGTCTTACAAAACGTTATCGATGAATTATAAAAATGATAAAGTTCAAATTTATTTCTCAGAAAACTAAGAAATTAGCTTAATCGGAGAATTGGAAATTTAAAAACTTTTTTTTCTTAATTAGACAAGTAGGGAAAAGGAACACTTAGTTGGGAACACTCTTATTGAGGTAATCGTTGTTAGCGAGTTCGGTACAAAAGAGAACCCGTTCTTAAAATCGCGAATCCCATCACTGGTATAAGTAACACAGCTATGTCTCGGACCAACAATGCCTTATATTTGTACCGATTTGTGTTAGTTTCTATTTTCTATAAAGTGGATGTAACATTTTGGGCGCTCCAGAATTGTGTACCAATATGTAGGGTAACTAATTTTGTTCGGCTATTTTACTTCAAGTTGTGTAAAGGGACGGAATACTATGGGCAGGGGGTATATTCACTTGGCTACACAAACAGTTCTCGAACTCGTAATAGAACTAAAATAAGGAAAATTGGAACAATATCATGCCCTAACCTGGTACACATACTACGGTAGTGCCACATTTTGAGATACGTAAACATACTGCCAATAAGCAAGCGATATCTCCGATCTTGAAAAACAGAAATTATCGCCGTTCAGCCAGAATTGATCATGAACAAGCTTGTTATTTATCAACTTCTTCGTATATTTTCTATTTTAAAGCTAATTTAAACTACGGCATAGACTCGGTTTTGTAAAGACTTCTCGAAGAGGTAGGTATGGGTGACCCACAAAAGGCTTTGCTTGGCCTGAAATTGCCCATCCCTTTCGTAGGCCAACAATGCCCTGTATTTTTATTATTTTGCAGATGCATTAAAAGATTTAACATTTAAAGATAAATAAACAGGGCGAACGACCACATTACCAAACTGAAACACAGAAATCCTCTCTGTTCAACCAAACTCGACCTCGTACGAGCTCTTGTTATCAACCACTTAATAGAATGCACTCGTTTCTCCGGCTCAGGCTTAATCAAGCATTATTTATCCTCTCTAGAAGACACGATTTAATTGCAAAATATTTCTACGTTCACTCATGTTCGGCGAACTTATATTTTGGCCTGCTATATATTACGTACCAGTGCCCGTTTGTATACGGACTTTAATCAGAGCACAACCGGTGTTGGCAAAACAATGTAAATTGCAGATATTCTGAAATGTTTTTCATCGTCCCACAAGAGACTTTTTCTTATCATACCTGCGTATCGCAATGCAAATACCCAGTTTTAATCTCCCTCTCTTGTAACAAATCAGCAGTTTATTCTGTCACCATACTGAAAATACACATTGTAAATACAAAATGAAGTAAAAAGAAGAAAAATTGCATTTCATGATGAAAGGCGACGCGATAAACCAGTACTGGTTATCAAGCAGCAACACCTATAGAAAAGTCTAACATTAAATCATAGAGTGAGTAGTCGAAATGAAAAAAAACTAACATTAAATCAAACTAGAATAAAAAGTAGAAAACCCGATACTAACAAGAATCGCCTGTGGCGTATATGCATATGTTTGAGAGACAGGGTATTCACGGTATTATTAGGAGCAAACGACTCCGAGCGCTGACTGTAGGGTAACCATGACAACTACAGCGCTGATGATACGAATAGCTAATCAAGGGGTAGAATGCTACGAGCTCGTTGGTTTGTCCATCAGACGTACGTATAGACGTAACCAGACAACGCAACTTAGGCTGGACAACATAACTCAGATGAAAGAATTGCCATCTGGGCTTCGTTTTCGTCTCGGTGATCAAAGAATTAGCTCGTCCCAGGTCCTTATCATGTTAAATATATATAAGGGTTTCCATACTGTCCTTGTAAGGACCAAAATGTTCCCGGATCGGCATCGCCCACGAAATTTATAACACTATGGCTGCACAATTAAGAAAAACTGCACAACTAACATACAGTTTGATCAGAAACTTATGTGCTCCTGAAAAGCCTGGTGAAAAGACTTATGTCCAACTGAAAGAACTTGCATCTCAACCCCAAACCATTGGTGATAGCAGAAAGAGTCAAATTTCATGAAAGAATCCAACATGATGGAGAAACTGTGAATGAGTTCCTGGCACAGCTCAGGAAATTATCTGAACATTGTCAATTCGGTGAGTTCTTAAATGATTCACTAAGAGATAGATTTGTGAGTGGACTAATGTCAACTCGAATGAAACGTAAATTATTAACTGAAGTTGACCTAACTCTGCAGAATGCTGTGAAAATTGCTACTGGTATGGAATTGGCAGAAAAACAAGCCAATGAATTAAGTTGCAAATTTGAAAAATTGCCAGTAGATGAAAGTAAACCAAAAGTTCATAAAGTTCAAAATAATCAAAGATTTGCAACGCGTTCTGAAATTCGAAAATTCAAAGAATGTTTTCGATAAGGGAAAAGTAATCATCCTGCTGAAAGCTGTTTCTACAGAAATGCAAAGTGCCATAAATGTAAACGAATTGGGCATATAAGTCGAAAATGCTCAATGCAACGTAACTTCTATCGAGGTTCCAAGCCTCTGAAAAGTAAAAAGTCTTCGAATTGTGACTACATGCAACCTACGAATGATGATAACCTGTCTTCGGACTGTTCTCAAAATGAAATGTGTCCTGTATTTACTACTAAGTCTAGTTCTTATGGTCCAATAGTAGTTCCACTGAGAATCGAAAATTGTGATTGTAAATTTGAATTAGATACTGGTAGTGGGGTGTCACTCATTTCTGAAAGCATGTATGAAAGGAATTTTAAACATTTGCCTTTGCTGAAATCTAATGTTGTATTGACAACTTATACTGGTGAAAATATTACGGTCTTAGGTAAAGTGAATGTTACTGTTGAATATGAGTCACAGTGTGTAAATTTACCTTTGCAAATTGTTCGTGGCAATGGTCCATTACTATTGGGTAGAAATTGGTTATCCCAATTGCAATGGCATCGTATTTGTCATATTGGTTCCAAGCTCACGCTTGAGAATATTTTGAAAAAGTACCCTGTTTTTGATAATTCCCTTGGTACTATAAAAGGTATAACTGCTAAACTAAGGGTGAAAGAAAGTGCCATTCCGAAATTCTACAAGCCACGTCCTGTTCCTTTTGCTCTTCGTGATAAAATTTCGGATGAGCTGAAAAGACTAGTAAATATGGGGGTCCTGAAAAAAGTTGAAAGTTCTGATCGGGCTTCACCCATTGTTCCAGTATTGAAAGCTGATGGTTCAGTAAGAATTTGTGGGGATTTTAAAGTAACTATAAACCCTGAATTAGATGTCCCTGAATATCCCTTGCCTAGACCTGAGGACCTATTTAGTAAATTGAATGGGGGGCAGAAATTTTCAAAGCTTGATTTATCAGAAGCTTATCAACAAGTCTTACTTGATGATGAATCTCAAAAATATGTCACTATTAATACTCATATGGGGTTATTTAGATATTTAAGGTTACCATATGGGGCAGCTTCTAGTCCTAGTATTTTCCAAGAAACTATGGAGAAAATTCTCCAGGGATTGCCAAATGTGGGTTGTATTTTAGATGATTTGATTGTCACTGAAAAAGATGATGATAGTCATTTGCAATTTCTTGATAAACTTCTATATAGATTGAATTTATTTGGTGTAAAATTGAAACGTTCTAAATGTTGTTTTTTGCAATCATCTGTTGAATATTTTGCTTTTGTTGTTAATGCAGAAGGTATTCACCCTTCTCCGAAAAAGATTGAAGCAATAATGGAAATCCCCAGCCCTGAAAAT